CGCCCTGCTCCGTGGCCGCCCGCCGCTTGCCTTCCAAGCGGCGGTGGCGTTTGCAGAGCGATCCGTGCGCATGCGCACGGAACGCTCTTGCACTTTCGGGGGGATTTAAACATCCCCCCGAAAGTTTTTTCAAGTTTTAGGATTTTTGTGCACCCCTGGGGACTGCCCCAAGAGTGCACAAAAATCTCCCTGCCCCCCAGGTCGCCCCTAAGGGCGGATTTAGCGATCCGCACTCAGGGGCAACTTGGGTATTAGATATATAGATTTGGGCGTGAACTGCTCTCTCCTTGCAGTTGGGAACACTGACTGTCAGTGTTCCCGACTGCATGGATGAAGGCCCTACATTTGGTGTCTCTGCAACCATTATGCATACGTTCCAAATAAATTAAAAGTAGACCTTGGCACTATTTGCCCCGTCTTCCCCACCTGCATTCATTTCGTGTGCTTAAAACTGTTGGCGGAATAATTAACACAGCAACAGTGCATAACGGGATTAAAGTGCAGATACAGGTTTATTTATGAACTTACATACTTGATAGTAAAGAGAAGAGACAGAGATAGGGTCCTAACTACATCTCCAGCTGAAAGAGTACACGAAGTATGGAACTTCTGAGGAGGAGGAAATCGCTCGCATTCTAGCAGTATCTGAAGAAGTATCACGCCCCGCCCCTGCCACAAATTTCGTTAGTCTTCTGGCCTCTTGCTCTTTTCTACTGCTGCACACAGACAAACACAGCTACCCATCTTGATCTGTCTCCTTGGAGAGAGCAGCTGCTTTCTTCAGAGGGTGGGCGCTATGCCACTAGGTCTGGTTCAGGCCTCTCCCCTTCCCCAAATCTCCAGGAATTTCCCAACTTGCAGTTGACAACCTTTCTCTCTATATTTAGTGGCAATAATGGCCAATGCTCCTGTCATGATCTGGGCTGTGCACGCACGGCCGAGCAGGCCTAGGGAGCCCGGCTAGCAGTGGGAGGAGGATGGGCCTACAAATCCCAGAAGGCCTTGGGAAGTTTTGGCTCCGATTTTGACCAATAGGGAAGAAGAGGGCTGGGGAATAAGTGAACTGGTACAACAGGGAAAGCTGTTCTTCTTCCCAGAGGGCAGAGCCAGAAGGAAGGTTGCTGTGGGGAAAGAGAGCCTCATCCTGAGGGAAGGGTGAGTAGTCTAAGGCCACTTGAGATAGTGAGCTAGGCAGGGGTCATTTCGTAGAAAAAGAGCTAGGGGAACTCATTAGTATAACTCATTAGCATGTGCCACACCTCCTGGCATCACCTGAAGTGTGTCATAAGGCCACACACCCCGCCCCCAACGATCCCGGCCGCCACCGCCGGCCTTGCAGCTCCACTGCCGAGCCCCATGAGGGGCCCGGCGGTGGACCTGCAAGGCCGGCGGGAGTGCAAGGAAGCCCCGC